TGAACCCTCTGACTCTGAAGTTTCGTACAATTGTTTATTGTTACCATTTTTTCTACGACATTAGTTTCCCATTCTATGATGTCGTTTTCCGTCCTAATACGACATCATTTATGACACCTTTTTCCACATTACGACATCCTTGTCCAATGCGACATCTTTGGCTTACGACGTTGTTTTTCATCAGACATCATGTTCACGCGAATATTATATACATACGACATAACGGCGCATTTCCAGACGTCATTAGCTTCGTACGACATAAATCATAGTTCACGCGTTTTGCAGCCAATTTGACGGACCTCTCTGTTTTCACACATGTTGCTGTGATTAGAATTAGTTTTAAAAATAATTTTATTTTTAATAAAAAATAAAAAAAATTATTTTAAAAATTATTTGAAATTAATTTTAAAATTATGTTTAGTTAGTTTTTTAAGAGATTATTTTGAGTATAATAAAAAAATAAAATCGTGTTTAGTTATAATTATTAATTAATATATTATAATCTTATTAATAAATATTCTTAAAAATAAAAATAGAAAAGTAAAAACAATTTTTAACTGTTTTTTAATTTCTTCATAAAAATTATTTTCACTATTTTTATTTTTATTTTTAAAATATTTACTAAATAAATTTTGTTTCATTTTCATTTTTTGTTTTTTAAAATATGTGAAAACCTGTTTTTTAAAAACGGGTTCTAAATACGCACAAAGATCTCTATTTCCTCATTAGGGAAAAAAAAAAAAAAAAACAGTTTGTCATCTAGCTAATATGTTGTTGCCTTTCAAGGCTGGCGCTTATGTTCCTATGAATTTAGAAAATTCTGAAAAAAAAAAAAAAAAAAGAAAAAAACGTGGTTTTTAAGTTTGTTCAGCTATGACTATGTACAGTTTTACACAATGCCTGGCTGTCTGGGCAAGAAGTTCCTCAACGATCAATTTACTTTCTGTCGTCATCTCAGTTCACCAAGCCAACTTTCAGACTTATTAAGGCATAAACTGTTTTTCCTCCTCTGGCTGGAAAAAAGAACTTACAAGTTACAATGGGAACATTATTCTATTAATTAAATTGATTGGTGTTTCTCGAGGAAGCACTCCAAGTTTTTTCTTTTTTAAATAAATCATGGGAACATTGACAAAATAAACTTGTAAAATTATTAAGTAATATGGGCTTCATCCTCTTTTTAGCCGAAAGAATAAAAAGTGAAGCAATCTTTGCAATTGCTGAATTAATAAACAAATAAACAACATTGCAACACGAGCTTATCCCACTTTTAAAAAAGTTTTTCTCACTATGTGTATATAAGGACCAATTAGATGTAAAAATATCATAATTAATCTTATAAAATGTTCAAGTGGAAGAAATTATCCAAATTTTTAACCTCATTTTTAATTTGACCAATATTGTAATAAATTTTAAAGTTTAAGTAGTGAATTGTCAAGATTAAAAATTAAGGAATTAATTTACTAAATATGTAAAGTTAAAGAGGTGTCCGTACAAAAATATATATATTTGAATATAACTTTATCTTATATATAGTTTAAAACATATCAATTTATACAAATTATTGTCCTCAAAATTTGAATAATTGGTATAAATAGTCCCTAATTAAAGAAGATAATTTAATCTCTAACATTTTAATTTTAGTAAACACCCCTCGTCAAATTCCTCACTATTAATCACACGTCACCTCTCACGTGAGAATAAGCTGAAAAGACTGGAAAGCCCTTATTAGGAAATGGGGTGTTAAAAATTTGAGTTTGGAGAGTTTCTCATCCCCCACCGTACTTGCCCTCAATCCGCCGGAAGAAAAAAACAAATGGAAGTCTCCGATGTTGGCCGAGGAAGCATGTTGAGGTCAGCTAAAGAAGCGTTATCACGTCACACAATGCACTCCTACCGTTGTCTGGGAAGATCTAATGTCGGAGGAGATCGCTCAATGCTCTCCATGGAAGATACAAAGCCGAAGATCTCTCTAGTCTGTAGATGTCCTCTACCTCACATGGGAAGATCGAGGAAGAACTGGACGGTGATGGGGACTGCTCACGGTGGGAAGCTCGTGGCGGCAGATCCATCGCTGCAAGCCAGATTCGTCTCCGAGCACTCGTCACCGCTTGTCCGCTCCTCCCCCTCTCGTCTCGCCCAACTCTGTCGTGCAAACCCAGCTCTCCATTGCCAAGCACTATCAAAGGTCTTGAGGTCAAAGGTCTTGAGGTCTTGAGGTGTGTTAAAAAATGGCTGGTTGATTTGTTTTTCTGCAATATGAATAAATGTTTGCAGATTCGACACCCCTCTTTTGTTTTTTTTTTTTTTTTTGGGGAAATCAAAGCCTTTTCTTTTGTTTTAGGTTTGGGCTTTCTTTGATCTTTGGCTTGTGTCTGGTGATCAACATTATCTGTTGAGGCATGAAGCTTCCAAATGTTACTGGTGCACGATAATGACTTTGAAGCTTTTGGCCATGGATATGTAAGTGAAATGCCATTTGGGTTAAGCTTTGTGCTTCTTCGCAGCTTTCCCATTCTTTGCAGAATTTTTTAACGTTGTTCACCTTAAATTTCATCATTAATGTTATTTTCATTTGACCAAAATACCCTCTAACATTGGATCACATGCATTACACGTGATACATCTGATGCGATAAAATTAACACTAACAAGTGCACTAACCGTTCAAGTAATAAAGTGATAATAAAGATATCATTCCCAACGATGATTGATAAAATTCACAGATAAAGTGATTAAACTGATTATGTTATTTGAGATTGCAAAATTAGGAGTAACGTGAATCAAAACTAAATAAACATTAAAAATCAGAAAAATATAAAGATGCAAGATTTAAGAGAGAAATCAATGAAAGAAAACGTTAGAGAGTTGATTTCACCTACACCGGTTCATCCACAAGTTCAAAAGAATGAATCTCAATTATTATCAATCACGAGATGGTAAAATTCCCTAATGTTCAATTATTCATATTTTGGGTCTAATCAACTATCACATATATTTTTAACTTCAAATATCCTTAGTTCAGGTCTATTCTAGATTAATTCAATATGAGATGCATTAGATTTTGTGGAATCCTTTTTCAGTTAAATCTCTCTCTCAGTTACAACTTAAACTGACCACATGAATGTCCTAAGATCCTTATTCCGTTACTCCTCGTCCACTCATGGCCTGTTCTATATTTTGCTGGAATGTTATTCACATCCAAGATTCAATTCACAATTTAATATTTCATATCACATAGCTTCTCTATCCGAAACATCACTATGATCAATTCCCAATTAAATAAATAAAAAATCCTAAGAACAATAGAACACGCTCTTCATGAAAAAAATAATAAATTACAACTCATTCAAATTGAAACTCAGAAATCACAGGTTCAGATCCATCAATCTCTAACTAAAAGTATTAAACCATAACTAAATTAAATAAACCAAAGAGAATTCCAGAAGACATCACCGTATGAATCACAAAAGAAGAAAAGAAGAAAGAAGGTTAAATCTCAATGGTCGAACATCACATATCGTTTATCCACCAAGCTTCTGCTGTTCCTTCTCAGATTTTCCTCTAGGTCAATCTCCTCCTAAAAGCCCTGGCCAAATCTCCTTCCAAAAGCTCTGGGTGAATCCGTTTTTGCCTCACTGCGGAACTGCCAGCCAAAAATCCCCTTTTGACTGTTGCTCATTTTTTCTTTTTAAACCCGATTATGCCTTCCACAAAACTCTCTCTCTCTCACCGGCTGTCCTTCCACTCCCGGATCTTTCTCTCTTTTTCATCTTCAAACTCTCGGTTAGATAGGGTTTTCTCCAAAGAAGTCGCAACTCCTTATCCTCTCTAAATCAGCCCCCCTTATCCAGCGTTTAATCTCAAGAAGAAAGCACAAAACCGTAATGGCCAAATTTAGCCTCCTTCGTTTGTGGGCTTTTAA